TCTTTTTTTTTTTTTTTTTTTTTTTTCAAACATCACTGCCGGGCGTAGGAGGGATGCTGGTAAGAGCAGACACCCCTTCTACTGACCCGTCTATTGGATGGCTCCATTCTATAGGTGGGGAGCTGCACCTGCTGGAAACCGGGTCCAGCGTCCCGTTACATCTTCCCATCTTATCTATCCACCTAAAAATGTGGATATCTTGAATATCCTCTTTTCCTCCTTTTTTGACTTCATTCATACCCAAACCAAGCCCTTGGAACCAGACTTAGTGCTGAGGGGGGAAAAGGGTCTGGGAAATCTGAAAGTGGACGTAAAGAGATATTTGGATCTATCATCGTCCAGTCATTAAAAACAAGCTTATAATCCCTTCTTAGCTCTTCCTCTTCTCTTCTCCTTTCCCCTTCCCATTCAACCTTCCCCATTTTCCCTCCCTGGGTTCCTCCTAGCCAGCATTGGTTGAATTGTTGAATGTGCTGCAGGATTTCCGTTGGTGAGGATATAAATTTTATTTTTTCTTTAGACTGTTCCCATTTTATATTGATATCTTTTTTTTTTTTTTTTTTTTTTTTTTTTTTTTTTTTTTTGGAAGAAACAGTCCCTGCAGTGTTAGCGATGCTGATAAGAGCAGACACCGCTAGCACGAACTGTGTCAGTGAATTCTGGTCCATCTAGTCTGACTCCTTCCATTTCATTCGTACATCTTCTCCCTCTCCAGTACTCTCCACTGTCCAAAATTGGAGAGTTTGGCATAGCTCCGTAGACTCTCCAATTTGGATGTGGAAAAACAAGTGGAGAGCTGTCAGAACACAGCCTTCAGAATCACTCTCCAATTATATTAGAGGATCGAGTTCCCCACCTGCAAATGCAGTGATTTGGAGAGTCCTATGGGAGAGGCCATGATTTGAAGAGTCCTATGCGAGAGGCCATGTGCACCCATTTTTGGAGAGTTCGCTCCGAGTATGGGCTGATAAAACACACAAACCACATACCCCGGAAAGTGGGCAGCAGATTGTGACGCCCAACCTCACGCCCAGCGCGACTTCCTGATCGGAGTGGGGTATGGGCCTGGAAGTGCGAAAAGGGGTGTGCCAAGGATTTTTGGGGAAAGTGGGGGAGTCTTAAGGGTATGAATGCAATTAGGCGAGCGTGCACAAGGGACTCACGGTCCGATGGGGCCGGGACACTCTGGGCGACGGGCTACGGGAAAATTCCTCTGTGGTGGAGGTGGTCCTGAAAAGTTAGGCCGTCGGGGGCCGCCACACGGCGCAGGCCGCCACGTACCTGGGTTGGGCCTCCAGAATTCCGGAGTGCTCTGCGCGCTGTTGTGTCGGCAGTTCACGCAAAACGTATTGGGCCAATAGGGGGCTATGGCCGGCCACGGAACGACACTGAGTTGATGATATGGGAGAAGGAGGCGGAAAGGAGGGAAACTGGTGGTGATCTCAAAGAATCCTGGGTGGGTGAAGTAGTAGGTGTGGTCGGGGGAAGGGAAATCGGAGCGCCGAGGGTCGCTAGTGGTGGCACAGTGGAATTCCCGCGGACATAGCCGATTCTCCGTGTGACAAGGGTATCGGGTCCTTATGAGCTCGTTTATTATAGGGGTGAAATAGTCCGGGTCATAGGACGAGTCTGGGCCCCAAGATCGCGTCATGGTATTATTGCCGATGGGTTAGCGCGGGTCGGGATATCGTCACCGCGCACGAGCATGTGTAGGACAGGCCGACTCAGTGGCGCCTCATCATGTTCGTACGGGATGATGGTTCCGCCGTGATTCCTTTCGGGGTGAGCGAGTCGACGCGCGGGAATGCGTGCAAGGGCGTGACTCGGATCGCGTTTACCGTGTTCTCGTGCGGCGCTCGCGAGGCCGGACTTCGCGCCTAATTGCTTCGTAAGTCTCGGTTATGCAAGATGCAATCATACCACAACCTCATCAGGGGACAAGCAAAAACGAAATCTACATCGGGGCCAGACTCTTATCCCATCTACCGCTGCACCTGGTGCAAGCAAAGATTCGGCACAAACAAAAAGCAAGGGCAGGGATTCTCCGCAAAAGATATAGGCAAGCAGGCATAACATTCATGCATCCATACGTTCGACAATCATACACATAATGGACATCGCGAAGACAAATGTGAGCAAAAATCCAAGCCCAGATTTCAGAAAGCCGAAACGAAAATAAGAACGGGCAAACCGCCCGGAGCCGTAATCAAAATGTATGTACACAGGTGAAGAGGGGGAAGAGACAAAGAAACCGCAAATCCACGTTCATCCACCTCAACTCTCTTCTTCTCTCTCTCTCTCTCCGATGCGGACAGTCCGTCGACACGCACCAACCCACGAAGTTGTCACCCCGCTTAGTCCTCCCGCACCCGTCGGATTCACCCGTGCCCACAGTCCGTCGTGGCCCACGTCAATCCCGCGCGTTCGGCACTAGCCCGTCGGGTCGCCCAACTCCTACTCTACTCACCTCTTACTTTGCTCGTGTGCCGACCCTTACTGATCGCGCAACCCCGAGCTTCCAACAACGGGTTAAGAGAGCTGACTAATCGCGCAACCGGAATTTATAGCGTGCATGCATGCGCGAAGGACATGGAATTACCAGAACTTAGAGCAGGGATTAGAGAGGGAGCGCCTGCGTTCTGGATGATCGGGCCGTGGTGTGGGGGACGTAGCCCTTCTCCACGCATCGATCCGAGCATGCAAACCGTGGTTCACAAAAATCACAGCAAGAGGAAGAGAGGGAGAGCGGGAAAAACGAAGCGCAAGAAGAAAGATACAGTTACAATGGCGCCTGCCCAAAATTACAGTTACACCAACGATTATAGGCGCCGATTAATCAGAGTTCCGTTGCAGCCGCGCGAAGAAGCGCGTGAACAAAAAGCGCCGCACGGCTGGAAAAATCATAATTACTAAATTCCTAAATTCCTATCTAATGCGAAAAATCAAAAGGCAAAAATTCCAGAAGGAAAGTCTGAAATTCCGAGAGCCATCGGGGCTCGACAAAAATTCAAAAAGGTTTCAAAAGAAAATTAAAAAGAGCGCAGCAATTTCCCGCGCGGTGTCCACGCCCAAAAGATCGAAACCGAACCGAAAGAAACGACGTCAATATTTATTAATTCGCGCGAGCGAATGGCGACGTGCCAGACATCCATCCGACCAATCACTCAACCGGCCGTTCCCAGGACACACCCAGCCCCGAAGAAGCGACGAAAAAGACGAAGAAGCAAGGGTACTGATGCAATTTTCCACCGATCCTGATTTTCCGTAATTGGCCCAATCTTCCCAGCTTAGGACCCCTTGTTGCAACCGCGTAGAAACTCACGCATTACAGAAAGTGGTTCATCACATATGTGACGCCCAAGGGGTTCCAATACTAGCAAGCTCCTGCTTGCTTGTTGACACGTGTCAATTTCTCTAATCGATCGACACGCGGAGCACTTTCCTTTATGCCACTTACCGTTCGATTGCGTGCGGACGTCATCCAACGTGGCAACTTTGCTCTTCTACTACTTCCTCAGATTGGGCTTGACGATCCAAGGACGGGATTTTTCTCGTGCCGTTACCGCGACACACATCCATTACTGGTTGCATTAGTAATTAACTCGAAGGGGAAAAGGGAGCCGGTGCATGGCGGCATGGCGGGGTGGAGGGCTTAGGGGTAACGGGGGCAGGAACCTTTCCATCCCGGCGGCAGATTCTGGAAGCGCTTGGTAGCGGACGATGCGGTGGAAGCGGGGGAAACGGTTGCCAGTGGGAGGGAGGGACGCGAGGTAATCAGGATAGAGGGTGGTGAGAGTTCGGAAAAGTGCCGCGTGGAAACGATCGTGATCTTCGCAGGCGGGGATGGTCCCCGCTACTATGCAATAAACCTCGATCATATTGTGGCTTCGCCACGCGGCACTAAGGAGCAAAACATGGAGGCAGAAGGTTGGGACGACGCACTGAATGGAGGGGTGGGGGTGCACTACTATAGCGAAGCGAGCAGCATAGAAGTGGCGGAGGGCGTCGCGGGGGAACGGATTAGAGGGGAACGTAACGGGGGTGGTGAGCTGGCGGAGGATGAGGTATTCAAGGGGACTACGAGAGAGCGATCGGGGACGAAGACCGATCGCCCGTATCGGTACATTGGCGAACTGGGGGACGGGTTGGGGAGGAGGGGGATCGGCTCCGTTGCCTCGCTGATGAGGTCGGAGTCGTGGCCGTGAGGTCGCCATGTTCTGGTCGGGGCTGCTCCGGATCTCGGTTTGGGTCGTCGTAGACGTGCGTCGTAGACGTGCGAGCTTGCCCCGCTCGCAAATTCTAGCTTCCTCTTCTCGGCCGCGGTTTCTTCTTTTTTGCGGGCCGCCTCCGGATCTTCAGCCTCCGTGCCCGTGCGCAGCGCTTCTTCTGGCACAGCTTCCCACTCCGATTCCGCAGGTCCTTCTTCGTTCTCCTCTTCTCCTTCGTCGTCTTCTTCTTCTTCTTCGCTCTGCTCCCCCTCGCTATGCTCGCTATAGCTTCCTTCTTCGGGGGTTTCGTCCCCTTCCCCGAGTACTTCGTCGCTTTCCCCACTTTCTTCCCGCTCGTCTTCTCCTTCGTCACTCTCAGTGCTTTCTTCCTCCTCTTCCTCCTCTTCCTCCTCTTCCTCCATCGCAAGCTGCTCCGCCATTGGATGCCTTAAGAAGGCAGGATCGCAAACCGTCCGGGGATCAAAATACTGTTGCTGCGACGGCGGGATGCGCTCGGCGGCTCCCTCCACACAAGCCGACCACTGGAGATACGGCGTCAATGTGCGAGAAAGCACATGAGGAATCGGGTGCTTGCCGTCTTGCGAGATGATGTCGAGAGGGAGATCGTCCGCCCGCTGCGCAACCGGGATCGTGAACTCTTGCGCGATGAGTTCCTGATGTCCGCGCCGCACAGTACCGAACAGAAACGCGAGGAGTTCTCCCTCCACGTTGGTTCGCCAAGCCTGGATGAACAGCAACTCCAGGCGCTCTATGCAAGGCGGGCGCGCCTCGTCCTCGGTCCACGTCAGCCGTACTTCAACCAAGCACAGTGAAAGTTCGACGAAGTCTTCGCGCCATAGGTCCCAGTGTGGGGTATGAATGTCGGGGACAGCAAGGGTCATTAGACAGTAGGAAAGGCGAGGATGGATATCGGACTGTCAAAAGGTGGGGAAGGTGGAGGGGGAGATCAAAAACGGAGATCGGAGAGAGACTCATTGGGGGTGAGGGAAGGGAACAACAACAGGGAGAACTGCCGGCAGATCACGATGGTACACCCGAAGGCCGTCGTATTCGATTGCTCGCGTCGCTGCGACCGTGTCCCCGGGATGAGCCAGAAGCAGGGTCCACTCGGCGACCAGATCGTTTGCCCACACGCGCAGCGATGTCTTCACTGCCGAATGTCGTAACCACTGAAGTTGATGACGACCGATATGCGGCTGACACCTGGCACCGCTCGCTGATGAATTGCTACTGCCTCGGCCAGTACTACTGCGTTGGGCTGACCTTCGATTCTGAACACCGCCGCTGCATACACACCTTCCGTGCAGAAAAAGTGTGCAAGCCGCTGAAGATCCAGACTGAGGCGGGGCTGATAGACTTGCCGGATCGTCAATCGATCGCGGGCGCAAGCGATGCTTCGCTGAGGGCTCTCTCCTCCAGAAAACTCATGGCGATGGCGACGGAGAGGCAGAGAGGGAGTAAGAGGAAGAGAGTGATGGTGGAGAGTCAGAGTCGTCGTCCTTGGTTTCCTCGGAAGGAGAGATGGAGGGGGAAGGGGATGGAGCAAAGGGGAGGAGGCGAAGATAGGACACGTGGCGTGTGATCGGGCGGGCCGATCGGCTGCCAGAGACTTCAGGGGCGAGGCGCACGGTGTCCACACCGTTGGGGCCTTGCTCAATCACACGATATCGCCCGAAGAATCGTGGCGCTAGCTTACCCTGGCGAGCACATTTCCTCACCTGCACCACGTCCCCCAATTTGTACTGGGGCCGTGGACCCGCATTCCCATTTCGGGCCTCGTAGCTCCGGACCTGTCGGCCTTGGGCTAGCTCGGTCATTTTCTGTCATTTTCGGGCTAGCCTGGGTAGTGACCGTTCCATTAGCTCTAGGTGCCGTTTGGCCTTGTCCCTAGCCGTGGCCCTGGTGGGCCATCGGTTCAATGTAGACTCGTCCGGGAGGCTTGGTATTGAAACGCAAGTGACGCTATTGGTCCTTAATTGGAAGGGGCTCAGCCCCATCGATTCGTGGGGCGTTCCGCGATGGACCGCCAGGATGTGATCGACGATATCGGGCCAGGGTCTCGGATCTCGTGCTGCAATGTTTCGTCGCAACGCTGTCTTTATCACCCGGTTAGCGTTTTCGACCAGTCCATTGGATTGTGACATATGGGGTGCAGTGTTACGTATGGCGACGCCATGTAGGACCAGATTCCTTAGTACTTCTCCCCTGAATTCAGCCCCGTTGTCGGTCAGGATTTCTTCCGTATCCTGATGCATCCTGAGGAAACGGTTGACATACCGCGCGATTTCTGTGGCTTGCCACGTGCGACAAGGATACGCTTCAATCCATTTCGAGAAATGGTCGACAAATACCAATAGGATTGAATATTCGCAGCTATTAGGGTCAGGGGGCACCACTATGTCGGTAGTGTCCATGCTCACTCTTTGAAATGGTCGTTCAACAACCGTGGGCACTATCGATCTTGGCGGCTGAATCGGTGCCTTGTCAGCGGCGCAGACTTGACAGTTGGCGACAATGTATTTCACATCGTCGCGGATATTGGACCAATACCACTCATTTTTGTCGATAGTGGACTCCGTGATTCGTACAGCAAAATGGGCCGCAGTCTCCTCGTGGGCTATCTTAACCCAGTCATACCACATGGACGGATGCGGCACTACCATCCAAATCCCACTGCCGTCCGTTTTCCGTTTTTCTAATCTACCCTCTATCCATCGATAATCCCGAGCCCTTTCGTTGAACCTCCTCCGATCTTCCTTAGTGAAATCCTGGAGGGGGTTACCTACTAGGGTGGCAATCAAGGCAATATCCGTCCATACTTCAGCCCTTCTAAACTTCCGGGTCTTTTCCAATCCTTCTAACGTGGCATCCAAAAAGCGAGCCTCGGTCGGGATCTTGTTGGTCCGGCACAAGGGGCACAACCACGGTTTACTATCGTTTCTGTATTGGATGCACGAGCCATGGGCTCGTGCGACGCACTGTCGACAATCTATCCAATCAACATACCCTTCCCCGTTAGGACACGTGGAGACCGAGTATACGCAGGAGATGGCTTCGCAAAAATAGCAAAATTTGTCAGGCAGGGAGAGGAGAGACGAAGAGGAAGGGGGGGAGAGAGGGGTAGTGGGGTTACTTTCATCACCCATTGCCACCGTTTTGCTTCTTGCCAAGTGAGAGAACTGCCACTTGTCCGTATTTCGGCTCGTTGGTCAAGTCCGGCTCTTTCTACGGTGTAATTTCCTCGCCCTTTGGTACCTTGACAGGTCGGTGCAGACGTGTCAGCTCGTCCGCGTTGCCGTGCCGCTCTATCTTTCGATGGACGATATCGAAGTCGTATTCTTGTAGTCGCATCGCCCAACGGCCAACCATGCCCGTGTAATTGATGAGTTTCTTCAGCGCTAGCAGAGGCTCGTGATCCGTTACGAGGCGAAATTTCTGTCCGTAGAGATACGGGTGGAAGTGTTGGATTCCCCAAACTACCGCATAGCACTCGCCTTGAGGTGCGGAGTCGTTTCTTCGTTCGTCCGGTACGGTCCGAGAAGCGTACTCGATGACGTGTTCTCGACCATCGTTCCTCTTCTGGGCTAAAATAGCGGAAATAGCGTCCGGTTGCCAGTCCGTGATGAGAATGAACTGCTTCGAGGGGTCCGGTCGAATCAAAATAGGGGCCATTGCCAGAGCGTCTTTGAGGGTTGCAAAGGCCTGTTGGCACTCCACGTCCCAACTAAGAGGCCGGTCCTTTCGTAACAGATTCGTTAGCGGTCGTGCAATCGCGGCAAAGCCCTTGATGAAGCGCCGGTAGTACGATGCCAGCCCCAAGAAGGCTCGAACTTGCGTTAATGACGTGGGAACCGGGGCTTCTTTCACCGCCGCCACTTTTCTCGAGTCCGGCCGCAATCCTCCACGTGTCACGACGTAGCCCAAGAACGAAATTTCCGAGAGGAAAAATTCGCTCTTCTCGAGCGCAATCTTGAACCCAGCGTCTCTTAGTGCGCCCAATGTCCATTCGAGGTGTTGCGCGTGCCCATGATAAGTTTCCGAATAGACCAGGATGTCGTCCATGTACACGATCACGCAGAAGTTGATCATCCCTTGCGTCAGCCGTGTCTTGTTGACGAAGTTCTGGAACGTCATGTTCATCACTCGCTGAAACGTGGCAGGCGCATTGCAAATCCCCATCGGACACCGAACCCACTGCCACGTGCCCTCAAACAACACAAAGACCGTTTTCGGTCGATCTTCTTCCCTTACCAGAATATGATGGAAGCCATGCCGAATATCAAACTTGCTGAAAT